GTGCAGATGGGTCACATAATGGTATATTTCCCATCTTTAAAAACAAAACAAAATGTGCTACAGTATGCAGATGTGATTTTAATGTGGGCCACTTTTAGTCCAGGTTAATTCTTTATTACATTTACATATCACAAATACAACTCTATTTATAAAAGATGCACAACTGAAGTCCATATATTATACTAAAATAATTTGATTTGCTATTTTTTAGATGGCAAGGGTACATGAAGGCTGTTACCCCACACCCATTTTTATTTAAAAAACAAAACCAAAACCAAAACATGTTTTTCACCATTTATCTGTATCTACATGTTGATTATATTCCAGCCTCACCATGTGTCATAGGAAGAGCTTATTTGTATGGGCCTGTGAACAGTCAAAAAGCCAATTATGAGCCTTCTGCCTGCCGTTATAAGAATTATGAGCCTCTAGTGTGTGCCTCGTTTGGTAATGTCAGTGCTGTAGGTTTGATCCACGTGTATATGGCATGCACAGAAATGTGATTGAAATGTATTTATTACATTTATGATTTAAAATTACAAAATGGGCCGAAAAATGTTTTTTATCAGCAGGCTTTTTTCCTGAAAAGAGAGTACACTACTGCACGCAGGCATAAAATCTGAAGTACTCAATGAACGCATTAATTTGGCTGTTAATTCAGAAAGATGCAGGGTTTTCAGTGTGAAGAAAAGAGGTCACTAATGCCAAGACCATTTTGTAAGTTTTATTTAATTTATTTTGGTTTTAAAGAAGCATAAAAAATGCTCACACTGGGGTGGCTTCAGTCTGTTTGCTAGGAGGAAAATTGTCAGGGATTTGATGATTTTAAAAAGAATGAGCAATGGCAGATTTAAACGTCTTCATCCCATCAAACAAATGTACAATATATTTCTGACACATTATGCTGTAGAAACATACAAGTGCAAAAGAAAACAATATGCTACTAAGGTGAAAACAAGTTGTACTGCATACTTGTTGTGGAGTGATTTTGGGAAATTCATACATGACATACCTCTCTTGACTAAATGAACATGGTGTGTAAATGTCAGCAACTACAAAATGAACATATTGTACATTCATTTTGCTTTGGTGCAAATGTATCCCACCACGTGAAATGTATGGAGCATGTATTCTTTTGTTAGGTAATAATTACTGGTGTTCTGTTACAGCTCCAGGCTGTCACGGTGGTGGGAGCCCACTCTGGAGACAAACTCATAAGAAAGAAGAGACACTGGATTACCCCACCAAAACTACTCATTGAAAATAAAGACTATACAAACGAGAAATCTGTTGCCAGGGTGAGTCATGGATGTTTGAGTTCACCTCTCTTTAATTCATTTTCAAGTTTTATTTGATTTTTTTGTTTGTACAGTAGTTCTCAAATGTATTCATACCCGCCCATTCAAGAAGGAAAAAAACAGCTGTCACTGAAATAAGTTGAAATCATTTGTCCGGGACAGTTTTATTATTATTATTATTATTATTATTCTTTTCAACCACAATTCAAAAGCAATGTCTTATTTCACAAAATTATAATTTAGCATTTTTAAAAAATCTATTATTACTTTTTTCAGTTTCTAGTTATTTGAATGACTATTGTGAATTTTGCCTTTTCTTTAATGGAACGGTATGAATACATTTGAGGACTGTATTTAATGTCAGGCATTGTAAGGTCATATATTATATTATATTGCGAAACCTAGAAATTCCCACTTAGGTAGCACTTGGAGAAAGTCTTCAGGAAGCCCAAGCAAGTCCACCTGCCTTTGTTTTAGCAGTAAGAGTGTATGTTTGTGTCTATGTATGGATCGTCAAAGATAGGAGAGGTGTTCATTGGATCATGGGAAGTCTAGAGCAGCACAACAGGTTCAGGGTCACCTGAGCCAACTCTAACTGTAAGTTTTATCAAAAAGGACTGTTTCAAGCCTTACCTTAAAAGGAACAATGATGTATATCTCCTTTACCCAAAATTGACGCTGGTTCCACAGGAGATCAGCCTTTGTGAAGCGCTATGAGATGACTGTTGTTGTAAATATGCGCTATACAAATAAAATTGAATTGAATTGAATTGAATTGATAGCTGAAGCCTCTGCCGCCCATTTTACTTTTGGAAACCTTAAGAACCCCAAGTACCCAACCACCTCCAGTAGATGTTCCAGTCTTACCTGACCCCCACTGCCTGGTTAGACCATGCGTCCTCTACTAGGAGAAGGGACATAATTATGACTAATTTTGAACATCAGGCATGCATCATAGTAAAAGAGAAAATTGCAGTCTCCTACTGTACAACTAGCAATTGCTGAACACTTCTTACCCACGCTTGTACATTATGTCCTCTCAGTGAGATTCCAGGTGCTAATGCTTAGCCACGTTGTTGATCAAGTAATACACACAAGTCATACACACATGGACATATTACCAACTTATAAAAAAAAACCCCAAAAAACAACTTGATTTCCCTCTGCGGGGGTTGTTAAATTCAATTCTTGAGTTTAAAGGGAGCCCATGAAGTGAAGCTACAATGGGTGACATATGATCTCTTGCTAGTTCAGTACTTGAGCTGCAGCATTGCGTAACAACTGGGACGTTTTCACAGAGTTAGTGGAACATTCTGATGTAGGTACACTTTAAATAGGGAATAGGGAGTATTCCAGCCTAGAAGCAACACGTGCATGGACTGGTTTTTTAGCATCACTCTGAGACAAGATGTTCTGATTTTGATAACCGTGTGCAGGTGAAGGAAGGCTGTCCTGAAGACTTGTTTTATGTATGCGTTAAAGCATACCTCTCATTAGTGCTGGAGGCTAAGGCAAGGCCATCCAGACTGTGTATATGTCTGGAAAGTATGTTTCTGTGGTGTTTAGTGACAAATACAATAACTCTCCTTCAAGGGAGATCTGTGTCTGAAGAAGGCTACCTTTTTATGTCTCTGTTGTAATTGTTACTTCAGTATAATCAAGATCTAGAACATTTTTTTCATTCCAATACAGACAATAAATTTGATTTAAATATCTTTATCACCAGTTATGTGATATATTGTCTTCTTTTTGTGTGTTTCACATATGACAAACAAAAGATGGGTAAAAGTCAAAATGATTTGAAGAAAGCTTTTTGTGAAACTTTGAGGAAATTATTTCTCTTCGACCTGCTAATCAGCAGATTGTTTTCACTTGGAGGCTTCTTCAACTAAGTAAGCACAGTAAATATACAATTTCACTGCTGTAAGATGATTCCTCTCTGTGCAGGGAAAGGGTACATATCTTCTTAGGGTTTTTGCACATTAAACTTTATTTTCCCCTTTCTGCTCTAATTTGCACCATGACAGTTCTTACTTATCTGAATTTAAATCCTTTTTTAATTCTATAAATTTTTATTTTTTGAATCTACTATATATTTTAAAGATATATTTATGTCTGTGTTTTGTTATATGTAGATTGCTGTTGCATTGCTGCAATTTCCCTTTGGGGGTTATTGAATGATCTATCCAACTATTGTTCTATTTGTTGATTTATCGTTATATCATTTTGTCAATTGTTTTATCTATTGTACAGTTGTTTTTGTTGTTGTTGTTATCTTTTGCACTATTCTATGTTTAGCTTCTTCTCGCCTCTGTATTTCAGATTCATTCAGATTATCATGACGGCACAGGGAACGTTATCTACTCCCTGAAAGGCAGAGGGGCAAGCCAACATCCCTTTCATGTGTTTGTAGTTGACCCTCTTAGTGGACTCATTCGTGTGACCAAACTGCTTGACAGGGAGTTCATCGATATGTACAATGTGGGTAAAGCACAAAAAAAAAAAAAGTTTGAAATAGTGTCACATCATAATATTTAGTAATATACTGTAACTGAGATATTTGGCAGTAACTGACTATACCTTAATGTTGTAAATGCTTGTGAATGTGTGTAAAACATATGATAAAAAATGGTAAAATTTGGGTTTTCTGTTTCAGCTGACAGGTTTTGCTCACTTCCTCAATGGCACTTTGGCAGAGGATGCCATTGACATAATATTCAAGATTGTAGATGTGAATGACAACCCTCCAGTGTTTCAACCCATGAAGCCTGCGGAGGTGGATGAGCTCAGTCCTATAGGTTAGTGTTTTTCTATTCAGTTCATTTCAATTTATTTCAATTCAGTTCAGTTCCAGGATACTTCTAGGTCTTAGTTAAGTACCATCCTGGGCAAACAGGGCTGTTTGACAGCAACCAGTGTTTCGTAGATGAAGTAATGAAGAAGAAGATTACAGGCAGCTACACATATAGCAATGTATAATTAGCAATAATCTGAAGACCTTACAAATACAAACCCAGTTGTCAGACCTGAGGAATCCTGTGTGTTTTAGTGAAAAACCCTACGTGTGTATGTGTGCGTGCGTGTGTGTGAGAAAACTGCACAGTTTTATGACTGTTTCATTTAATGCTGTTTTTCCAGGGACTTCAGTTATGCAGCTCCTCGCCATTGATGCTGATGAAGCACTGAATAACAATTCTTTGATTGCGTTTAGCATCATAGACCAAAAGCCACCAGAGGATATGTTCTACGTAAACCGTACTGGGACTATCTTCGTCAAAAAGCCAACATTGGACAGAGAGGTATGACCTTCATCAACAGTATTTTGTATATATATATATGTATATTGGAGATGAAACTTTCGGATAACACAGTGGTATCTGTATATGTTGAAAAGTGAAAAGTGGCATTTGAGCTGTGCTTACGCCTCTACAGAGAAATTAAAATCTGCATCCAATTACCAATCACATGAGAAGGTGTCCAAAGGGTAAAAATATTGGGGTGGAATCCTTCCTTCTGCTTATTTACTTCTTTCTGTTATTGTACTCCTTTCTTGAACTAATTGTACCAAACAGCATGGTGATCTTTACTTACCACAAGCGGACCATAGCAACATTTTTCTTCACAACTGATCAAATGACTGTAATGTAAAAGGAGTTGCTCAAAGATTTGAACCTACAGAGAGACTTTGGAGTTCCCCTCAGTTCTACAGAGCTGTTAGACTTTCCATATCTGCCTACATGGACTACAACAATGTAATACTACATGTGATCACAACTGAGAATGGCAAGTTGAATTTACTTCGACTTCAGCGTTCTGTGTCATTTCCCAAAATAGCAGTCTACATAATGAATAGAATAAAACTTCTCATTTCTCTGTTAAAGGGCTATATCATACATATTTATGTGTATATCAAACATGTTTTTTTCAATGTTGATTCAAACCTGCTTAAAATTAAGCTAATACTTGACACTTTAAAGTATCCTTTGCTTTTTTTCAAATTAAATGTGCTGAAACAAGTCAAGTCAACTTTATTGCCATCCCAACCCTACACATAAGGTCTACGATGGAATGAGCTTAGATTCCTCCCAAGACCAATAAAAGACAGACACTATGACAGGACAAAACACACACACCATCCCACTGCTGTTTTGAGGTTCGCTGAGCGTGGCACACCCAGTGTACTATGATTAAGATGAATATAGTATTGCGCTTCATTCCTGTTGCATCAAGTGTATGACAGTTGCAGGTGAGAAAGACCGACATTGACAAGTTTGTTGGTCTTGAGGGTGCAACTGTGCATCAAACTTTACTAAGTTAAATTATAGTTTATTGTTTAGCCTTTAGATTTTACACCTCTTGTATTAGACTTATCACAAAAACTTGAGTGTGCTTAAATTTTTGTAAATATTTCATCTTGAATTCATCATCTTCAAGACGTCTTGTCTTGTGATTCCAGAAAACAAAACAGTACATTCTGACTGTGAAAGGTCGAGACGAAGACGGTGCACCCAGGGGCAAAACAGCGACCAGCAGTGTTACCATTAATATACGCGATGTGAATGACAATCTTCCCACTCTGGAAAAAGATGAGGTAGTTTTTTTGTCACACACTTTCTCACAAAGAAAATGTTTTGATTTCGCTTTCAGATGGTTTCAGTATTTTAAAAAAAAGGAAATACTGATTTGTCAATTTTACAGATTAAAGTCAGATATGATAATAAACAAATGTGCAATTATAATGAAATATAATCTTATAACATGTTTTACTTGCAGTATGAGGCAAGCATTAACGAGAACTCACAAGGTGTGGAGGTGTTGAGAATCAAAGCACAGGACTTGGACCAGGAAAGCACGGACAACTGGGCAGCTGTGTATGATATTGTCCAAGGCAATGACGACGGGTACTTCAGCATTAAAACAGACCCTAAGACCAACGAGGGCATTCTAATGCTTGACAAGGTACTGCAGTTTTAATAGAAATATATGTGCTGTTATCATGATCTTTTGTGAGAAATACTAATATACATTTGGTAAATACACTGATCATACTTCATAAAAAATGTATTTAATCTAATTATATTGGATGATGTCTAAACCACCCAAGTTCAGTCTTTAACTCAAATGAGCACTGTCAATGAGCAAAGTCATTTTAGTCTCCTGTATCTGTAATCTCATTTACTGTGCACCAAAACCTCTGATCCATAGATAAGGATTGGAATGTAGATTGTGCAGTAAGTCAAGAACTTTGCCTTTAGGCTCAATTCACTCTCCACCACAACTGTCTGATACACATCATGGTTTGGCCATGAGTCTCCCACTGTCCAGACTCCCAACTTTGTATGCACCTTTAGATTCTGTCATTAAAACCTGCAAACAGTAATCAGTAATCCTAATGAAGTACTATGTTTAGGAATGTACGTCACCTGCCCAGAACATGGACTGAACTCTCGCCTTGATTATACAAAACTAACTCGCTTAACATCCCTATTACCCAATACACCCACTGTACACCCCAGAAGGTACCTTTAAAGATAAGTTTTTGCCTCCATGAAGGTTAACAAAGCTACATGATCACCTCCACCAGTGGGTTGTTAGTTTGCTGCTATGATGACATTTGGCCAACAAAATCCAAGCAGCCACCTCAGCAGTGGAATTACTGCGCCTGTCTTTGCTATAGCATTTAAGGCCAGTGTTATCCCCCGTCCTTGAGTACAAATTAAATTTGGTCATCTCCCCAAGTCAGTGTGAGTCTGCGTTGATACCTGTGTGTACAGACTAAGATTTGTGTTGTGTGGTAATTACGCTACAAGGGCAGTAGTTGTGCATTCTTTGCATTGTTGCATGTTCATACAACCTACTGCACATGTAATGAACAGAGTCCTCTTCATTCATGTAATCTCTGCAGCGTAGCGCTTGAAGTTGTCTCTTTTGTTTGTAACATGACAAAACATAACCACCGACAGTAAGATGTATGGCTGCCTCAACTTTTACTTAGACTGTACTGTAACACCACAATTCTTTAAAAAAACTATCTCATATACCAATCAATAGTGCAATTGTGAAAAAAAGCATATGTGACTGCACCATTGAATATTACTTTAAATTATCAATGTAAATGCTTCTCAATACTCATTTTACACATAGCAAGCCTGTACTAACAAATGTGTCTATCATTGTTAATATGGTAACCTATGTTGTCTGTGATTGTGTGTGCCCTTCTACAGCCTGTGGATTATGAGAATGTGAAGGACCTTAATCTTGGGCTAATTGTGAAGAACAAGGCTCCACTATTTGGTGGACCTGGGGGAAATCCTGCTACTGGAGCTGGAGCAGGGGATGGAGATGGAGGTGGGGATGGAGATGGAGGTGGGGATGGGGAAGGAGGGGGCGAAGGCACTGGAGGCGGGGATGGGGATGNTAATCTATATATATGTAGCAGTTTTCAAATCATAATTTTCATATTTAAGAATAATTACAATAATTCCTCTCCTGGACACAGATAACGTCAAAATCCTTTCTTTTTTGGATGATAGTGGCCTGACTTATATTTAGATGTATTTTTTAAAAAGACTTGAAATCATTTTGGGAGGAAATCAAAAGAAATCGTTTTGTGCTGATGTGACATTTTGATAGTACAGATCCACCCTGGGGGCCTCGTACCCCGGCTGACTCTACTGTGAGAACCTGTCCAAATGTCAGGACAATTTGAGTTAGGGTGTGTCTCCACCACCTCACATGCTTCAGTCTACAGACACTGATGTTAGACGGCCTGTGCCCGGTAAACTATTATCATTAATGTCATCAAATGGTACTTTTACTTGCGTTCAGACACCGTCGATGGGTTTGCTTAAACTTAGACATCACAGTTTCAGTAAAGAAAACCAAAAATGGTCAATTTAGGGGTGGCCACAGGTTGGCTAATGAGATTTCAGGGTTTTGCCGCGGGCCCCCTTGAAGGTGCCGCTGTTCAAGTTATATCTGCAATTATGTAACTGGGCTGATGTATCGGAAAACTGTATTTAAAACAGTAAGATGCCTCATTATCTCTTGCAATATCTCAAACATATTCAGTTAGCGCAACACTAATTAAACCTAATGCACTTGACTCCAAAAATAACTGTAGTCCAGGGTGACCAAACGTCCTGTTTTCACGTCCTGTCCTGGCCGTCCTGGTTGTTTTTTATAAAATGACTACAACAATTTTCTATCCGTACAGAGGAGGCATACTTTAAATGTATTGAAATTATCAGGCATCTTCGAGTAAACTTCGAGTATCATTTGAGTATCTCATTACCGGGCCGAGTGTTCTGGTTTTCAGTAATCAAAATATGGTCACCCTATCAAGTATTTTATGTGTTGTAAACAAGTGTCAGGCGTAATGTGTTGACTTAGGATTGGAGCTTTTACTGAACATTGTTTCTGTGGTTCATGCCGGATATAATGATGAAATTTAATAAAATTGTATTTATACAGCACTTTTTTAAAGCAAAGTTGCAAAGTGCTTTACATGGTTTAAAAAAGGTCAAACGATTTAAAGACAGAAGCAAACAGAATCAGCAATAAAAATGCAGTTAAAATACAATGCAACTAAAGGAGACCTATTATGCTCATTTCAAGCTCCATGTTGTTGTTCTGGGACTCCACAAATATAGCTTTGTAGGACTCACAGTTAAAATAAATCTAAAAAAGAACCTGTTTTGCTTTTACAATTGATCATTGGTACGGCTTTGTCAAGGCTTGATACAGCCCAGTTTCAACCCAAACAGTACTACATATTTGTGTCAGCAACTATAACTCTAAAAAACTATAAATGTCCACAGATGCACAATATATAATTATTAAATAATTATTTGATTTCAGACCCACTGATTTATTTTTTCATATGTGACCAATCTGCATTAAATCAGTCGCGTTGCGCCTTGGGCTATATCCGCGATACAGCCCCGAATTACGTTAACACATGATAAAATATTGATTTTGGGTTTATTACTTAGATCAGTCCATTTATTTGTTTTCTACATGTAGGTAACATATCATATGACAGAGTGTAATAATATTATGCTCCATATTGCTGTCAAATACCGTCAGGTGCAATGCGACTGATTTCGTGCAGATGGGTCACATAATGGTATATTTCCCATCTTTAAAAACAAAACAAAATGTGCTACAGTATGCAGATGTGATTTTAATGTGGGCCACTTTTAGTCCAGGTTAATTCTTTATTACATTTACATATCACAAATACAACTCTATTTATAAAAGATGCACAACTGAAGTCCATATATTATACTAAAATAATTTGATTTGCTATTTTTTAGATGGCAAGGGTACATGAAGGCTGTTACCCCACACCCATTTTTATTTAAAAAACAAAACCAAAACCAAAACATGTTTTTCACCATTTATCTGTATCTACATGTTGATTATATTCCAGCCTCACCATGTGTCATAGGAAGAGCTTATTTGTATGGGCCTGTGAACAGTCAAAAAGCCAATTATGAGCCTTCTGCCTGCCGTTATAAGAATTATGAGCCTCTAGTGTGTGCCTCGTTTGGTAATGTCAGTGCTGTAGGTTTGATCCACGTGTATATGGCATGCACAGAAATCTGATTGAAATGTATTTATTACATTTATGATTTAAAATTACAAAATGGGCCGAAAAATGTTTTTTATCAGCAGGCTTTTTTCCTGAAAAGAGAGTACACTACTGCACGCAGGCATAAAATCTGAAGTACTCAATGAACGCATTAATTTGGCCGTTAATTCAGAAAGATGCAGGGTTTTCAGTGTGAAGAAAAGAGGTCACTAATGCCAAGACCATTTTGTAAGTTTTATTTAATTTATTTTGGTTTTAAAGAAGCATAAAAAATGCTCACACTGGGGTGGCTTCAGTCTGTTTGCTAGGAGGAAAATTGTCAGGGATTTGATGATTTTAAAAAGAATGAGCAATGGCAGATTTAAACGTCTTCATCCCATCAAACAAATGTACAATATATTTCTGACACATTATGCTGTAGAAACATACAAGTGCAAAAGAAAACAATATGCTACTAAGGTGAAAACAAGTTGTACTGCATACTTGTTGTGGAGCGATTTTGGGAAATTCATACATGACATACCTCTCTTGACTAAATGAACATGGTGTGTAAATGTCAGCAACTACAAAATGAACATATTGTACATTCATTTTGCTTTGGTGCAAATGTATCCCACCACGTGAAATGTATGGAGCATGTATTCTTTTGTTAGGTAATAATTACTGGTGTTCTGTTACAGCTCCAGGCTGTCACGGTGGTGGGAGCCCACTCTGGAGACAAACTCATAAGAAAGAAGAGACACTGGATTACCCCACCAAAACTACTCATTGAAAATAAAGACTATACAAACGAGAAATCTGTTGCCAGGGTGAGTCATGGATGTTTGAGTTCACCTCTCTTTAATTCATTTTCAAGTTTTATTTGATTTTTTTGTTTGTACAGTAGTTCTCAAATGTATTCATACCCGCCCATTCAAGAAGGAAAAAAACAGCTGTCACTGAAATAAGTTGAAATCATTTGTCCGGGACAGTTTTATTATTATTATTATTATTATTATTNGGAGGGGGAGCTGGTGGAGGAGGTGGGCCAGGGGGTGGAGGGGGAGCTGGTGGAGGAGGTAGGCCAGGGGGTGGAGGAAGTAAGCCAGGAACTGGAGGAGGAACAGGAGGGGGTGGAGGAGGGGGGAGGCCAAGTAGACCAAGTAGACCAAGTAGACCAACTGGTGCTGGTGGATCACCGAGTAAGAAAAAATTTAAAACCTATCCCATCAAAATCGACGTGAAGAACCTGCCTGACCCGCCACGTTTTCAACCCAAAGTCAAAGCTATACCCGTCTCAGAGGGACCCGACTCCGTAAACACTAACGATGTTATTGCCACCTACCCTGCAGTCGATGGAGACACTGGGGAACCAGTTGAGAATGTCAGGTCAGTGCATGCACAAACACACATAAAAGACCTTCTTCGAATAAACTGCAATGTCAGGTTCACTTTCTGTGCACAATACAACGACCGATTCATCCTATTTCTGCTGTAGGTATGCCAAGGGCTCCGACCCTGAGAACTGGCTATCCATCGACCCAGAGACAGCTGAGATCAGACTGAACAAGATTCCTGACAGAGAATCCCCAGCCCTCGTCAATGGGACATATTTTGCTGAAGTACTCGCCATTACAGATGGTACACTGCCATTATGTACCTGCTCCAGCTTTACACATCTAACATGTTAGAGCAGTTCTCTTAGCAAAAGGTTCCTGTGAAAAGACAGTGTAAGCTCTGCTATTAGATTTAACAAGCACTGGTTACTCCTTTTACAGCATATGAAGACAAATCCATAAATGCAACAAATACACTGACAATTTTTGCCAGAGGTGTAGCCTTGCCACAAGTACAACTGAATGGAAAATTCGGCTGAGGACAACTCCAGATGAAAAGCTGTGTAGTCATTAAAATCACACAATATTGTCATTTTAGAGGCATAGATCTAACATTTTATTTAATTTGAAAACAGTTGGATTAAGTTTCATCATCTGTGGATCATCAATATGCTCTGCAAATGTAGCCGAAATTCCAGTGTTGGTTTTCAATATCTTATGCACAAAACTAACAGTTTGACTTGAAGGAAGTGAGGCAAAATGGCTCCTCTCTTCTGGGGCATAAATGCACCACAGCAAGTGGGAAATTGTAATTCACCAAATGCGGCGCAAACTGAGATAAAGATTGAAAATCAGCCTACAAGTTTAGGCTGAATGACTTCACTTTGTTAATGTATATGGAAGAAAACCTGAATCAAACTGCATGAAAAACATTTTTTTTTAAAACTAGCTATCCATGAACTTGTCTCTTAAAAAAAGAGAAGATAAGCAAAAGAAAATGCTGAATATGTTCTTTTTTCTGTTTTTTTAATCACAGAGACACCAGCTAAAACAGCCACCGGCACCATAGCCATCCAGGTGGAAGATTTTAATGACAACTGTCCCAGCCTGACCAGTCACTTCGAGACAATATGTACTACGGCGAATGCTGTTAATGTGACTGCTCACGATGAGGATGCCGATCCCAATGGGTCTCCTCTTGACTTTGTCATTGTTCCAGAAGGCACTAGGGGAAAATGGCAGGTGGAGCATCTTAATGGTGAGGATAATATTACCACCACTAGTAGAGCCACATTATACTGTGAGACGTGTAAAGAAAAAGTTATGGTACTATACCCTACTAAACCCTATTTAATCAGTCCAGAAGAGTACCTTTTTCATTTTAATATTGTCCAATCTTGAGCTTGTTAAGTGTTTAAAAATGAAATGTAAAATGCCCTTTTTCATTTCATGGTATTATAGTCATAGAATGCTCAGACAAGTGGACGATAATAATAATATTAATATTAATAAAAGTAGTTTAGAAAAAGAAAATTACGTTCTGAAGAACAGTTTTTTGGGGAATTTGGCTGTAATAAAATGCAGTATATGTAAGCACAGAGAGCAGGAGAGAAGCCAACTGTTTAAGTAAGTTTAAGTTACAGTGAAGCCTAACAGATGACATGAAAACACAATAACCCAGCCAGTTGGCTGAACAGCAGGGTGTCACTGTTTCTAACATGTATTTCATCTTACCTGACTTTGTGAAGTCAGAAGCTTCAGCTGGTAATGCAACAAGGTGACAAAGATTAAGAGTTTCAGGTGGTAATCAGAGGGAAAAAAAGTTTTCGTCACTACCGAAAGGACTCAGAAACATGCATCTAAAGTCCTGACTCTTAAAAGAAACTTTGAATGTGTTAAATGCATCTTAGGCAAGTGGACTGCCAGCAAGTTGAGAACCTTTTGTCTCTAAGCTAGAATGTAAAGTCTTTAAAAGCACTGAATTTTAGAGCAATGCATACTGACTTTCTACACTTTCACTTTCTTGTCTTGTTTCTGGCAGAGACTGCTGCTATCTTGAGGGCTCAGGAGTCTCTGTGGACTGGTTTGTATGAGGTGGAATTTGTGATTAAAGACAAACAGGGACTGGCCTGTCCAGAACCACAGAAAATGAGGATCCAAGTTTGTGTCTGTGACGATGGAGTGATGTGTAGAGAAAGAAGTGCCAGTAGTCAACACAGCAAGAGAACCGAATTAGGATCTGCAGCCATTGGACTGGCAGTACTGGGTCTGCTGCTGTTGCTACGTAAGTGTGATTCAATTCAGTTCAGTTTTATTTACATAGTGCCAGTTCACAGCATATGTCATCTCAACAAAACCACATTGTAATATACCAGCCATTCTGAAATTGCACCTCTTATTTTGGGGATTCTTCAGGGTCACTGCCGTCCCCTCAGCACACTTTAGGAGTGTTTAATTAGGACTACTTTTTAGGTTGAACCTTTTTTCTTTTCTTTTTTTTACAGTCATCCCTCTGTTGATGCTCGTCTGCCAATGTGGGGACACTGCACATTTTCCAGACCTCTTTGCCGAGATGCCTTTCGACACCAAGACACGCCTTATTAACTACCACACTGAGCACCTGGGAGAGAAACCGGTGAGACCTACATATTCAAACACCTAACCTTCAATGTTGAGAGCAGGAATGTCCACATACAGAACGGTCGCGTGCTGTTCAGATGATGATGTCTGCTTAAAGGCTATATTAAGTGATTTTTGACCACATTCGAAAAAATGTTGACTCTGTTGTAACATTCAGATCTCTGGCTTATTATAGGAGGTGCCACTACTGGACATGCCAAAACAAGCGGAGAGACATATGGTCAGCATGGGTATGGGCGCACCTAAGAAATCTGTAGCAATAGCACCATTGTCACCTGTGGATTTCCATCAGTCAGTCACTTCTGTTAATGAGATGAACGGGGCCCCCTTTCAAGAAGATTTTATAAGTGTCCACAGAGAAGGAATGCAAAGTATGAACCAAGTGGACAGCTTTGGCTTCTCCGCTGAGTTTGAGGGCAGAGAATCTCAAGGAGGTGGAGAACTGTATGACTACATGGCTCTGCCGGACTACTTCCTGGGACAGTACTACAGCCAGGTGAGGAACTAGCTGACTAGTCACTCAACAGCCAGGAAAAGTTTTAAACGAAGTAATTGTACATAGCTATTTTGAAGAGCCCTTCAAGCTAAGTAACTTGATGTGCATTCATGGACATGCGATTGTCGGGCACTACAAATTTAAGCTATCAGTATATCAGGCATTAGCTAAGTTTCTGATGTTTACTGTTACCGTCTGTTGTCTACTGACTAATAATGACATTTTCAACCTTTGTTTTTTTTTTTTTTTTAATTGTGTGATACTTCTATGTTAATTTCAAGATAAGAACACAATTAAGATGCATGAAAGAAACTCTTTCAAAGAAAGATGACCTTGGTGTTCATTTCTTTTTCAACAAAAGGCCACCAACAGAAATGACAACACTCAAGTAAAGGATGGTCTGATGATGTACGAAGATGAGGGCCAGGGCTCCTCTGCTGGTTCAGTGGGCTGTTGCAGCCTTCTCGAATCTGACGATGACCTGCAGTTCCTCGATGACCTCGGAATGAAATTCAAGACTCTCGCTGAGGTGTGTGGAGGCAAGAAGATCACAAGTGAAGTCAAAGAAGTGTTCACTCCTCCGCCCCATTCTTCTCTAACCAGTTCCCAGACCTCAGTATCAAGTTCAGTAGCAGCCCAACAGTTGCCCCCTCCACCCAAGGTGCAGCCAACTATCACCAAAACAGAGCAGGCTGTGGTCAGGGAGACAGTTGAACCTTCTCAGTTGGTGAAGGCAAGCACTTCCATAGTGAGAGAAGGGATGACTACAGTGAGAACAGGGATGGAAAATCATAACCAGATGCTCCTACTACAGCAGCAGCAGCAGCAGCAGCAACAGCAGCAGCCACAGCCGCAGCCTGTCTACTACAACAGCGTTCCTTTGTTGCAGCCAATGCGCTACGTAATCCAACCACAGGTTCAGAACACTGTACTGCTGGCTGAGGCACCATCCACGAACATTCAAGGTATGGTCCTGGTTCATGACACTCAGGCTGTATCCTCCCCAGGAGTGTTCATTCAGGGGCAGACAGTGATGTCCGGTGGACAAGCCCAGGGCTCTGGCATGGTGCTGGTAGAGAACAATGGGATCCATGGGAGCTGCGCCAACGTGATCTGCACTGGGAACTTCTCTGATGTCCACAGGGGTTGTGGCCAGCTGATTCACACTGGCAACATATCCAAAGTCAACGAGAGTTGTGCTAACCTGATCCAAAGGAGCAACTCCTCTGATGTCAATGGGAGCTGTGCCAAGCTGATCCAAAGAAGCAACTCCTCTGATGTCAATGGGAGCTGTGCCAAGCTGATCCAAAGAAGCAACTCCTCTGATGTTAATGGGAGCTGTGCCTACCTGATCCACAATGGCAACTTCTCTGATGTTAATGGGGCCCGTGCCAACCTGATCCACAATGGCAACTTCTCTGAAGTTAATGGGGCCTGTGCCAACCTGATCCACAATGGCAACTTCTCTGA